AGAGAGAGAGAGAGAGAGAGAGAGAGAGAGAGAGAAAATGAAAATGAGCTTCCAACTTATTCCCATCCCATCTCTACCTTGGCCAGAGGCTGGGTGGGACACGCCGAATGGGCGGCTCCCAGATGGTGAACAGAGCGCTCAGCACTTGGTCATCCAGGGACAGAATGTCTTCCAGTTCTGCCTCACTCAGGCCACTCCTGGCAGCTGTGATGTAGCCTAAAGCGCGGGAAACGAAGATCTGGAAAACCCAAATAGGCTGTAACAGGCAGTGTCGGATTGTTATTGAGTAATATTAAATCTCTGAGGACTTAAAGGACATATTTTATGTCCTATAAGAAAATCAAATGCAATGATGCCACACATTTCGAACCATCATACACAAATCAAAAACACGAATGTTCATTGTATTTTAACAGTACACGTGTTGTTGTTCGGCTTTTTAAAAAAAAGGAAACGAGCCACCTAAAACGGCGTATTGAATGTATTATAAAAAAAAAAGCTTTACCGTGCAGCTTTAATTCACATTAGTTTTGTTTCAATTTGTCTCAACCAAAGATTTCAATAGGAAACAGTTATGGCTGGATTCGTTATGCTTCCGTAGGTTCCACTGCTTTATCGTGGTGACATTAGTGGAGCAGTGCGTGGTCATCGTAGCTACGAATGAGATAGAATTTGTGTTAAATTTCCACTGTATGAAATCTGTTTCAGGCCCAGTCAAAGATGGATAGAGGGAGTCAGAGACAAGATAACCATGCATCAAGCGATAGAACAGATAAAAACGAAAGACGTTAGCTTCTCTTCTTGACACCGGGAGGTAACAGAGGTCGGAAATGTAAACAGTAAAGTAAGTATAAAGTCTATTTAATCGAATATCTCCGTCTTTCTACAGGGATACTGTATCTGCATCCGCTCAGTTTGACCCTGACAGGCAGGACCAAAGCAGCTGGCCTAACAAAATGATCTGAATTGCGTAGATGGGGCTTGAAAAAAACGTACGACCATTCACCTTTCCATGTTTGGTCTCCAGTCTGTCAAACAGTTTATTGATGCTGGCTTCCACTGTGTACTCCAGGCACTCCGGGCTGATCACGTCATATGAGCGCCACCTGGTGGCTTCTTGGAAGGTTAAGGTTATGTACAGAGGCAGAGTGCACTTTTGGAAGGCTTCCTGGATGATTCTCCACTGCGGCAAAGTCACAGATCTATCCGGTGCAAGAGAAAAACGGCATTAAGCGTCTCGGTTAACAAGATCCTGTCTGTCTATCTTCCCTTCTCCTTGTTAAAGATGCTTCTCCTTTCCAGATCAAGCTCAAATCCTATGTGTAAGTGTACATGTGTGTGTGTGTGTGTGTGTGTGTGTGA